GAAATATCACCTCACACAGGATGGCTATTATTGAAAATGTGGCCAGGCACAGTGGCTCACATCAGTAATCACAGCACTTTGGGAGGCATAGGCAGGTGGATCATTTGGGGTAGGGAGTTCGAGCCAGCCTGGCCAAGATGGTGAAACCTTGTTTCTACTAAAAATACAAAAATTAGCCGGGCGTGGTGTTGCACGCCCGTAATCCAAGCTACTCAGGAGGCTGAGGCGGTAGAATCACTTGAACCCAGGAGGTGGAGGTTGCAGTGAGCCAGGATCGCACCACTGCACTGAAGCCAGGGTGAAAGAGTGAGACTCCATCTCAAAAAACAAACAAAACAAAATGTAAAATATAAGTGTTGGAGAAGATGTGAAGAAAAGGGAACCCTTGTACACTACTGATGGAAATGAAAATTAGTACAGCTATCATGGAAAATGGTATTGAGATACTTCAAACAATTAAAAATAGAACTACCATACAATTCAGCAATTCCACTTCAGGGTATATGTCCAAGTGATATGAAATCAGTATTTGAAAGAAGTATGTGTACCCCAATGTTCATTGCAGCATTATTCACAATAGCCAAGATATGGAATCTATTGTCTATTGATGGACAGATGAATGAACAAATAAAATGTATATACACCATGGAATACTATTCAGCCATAAAAAAAGAAACTCCTGTCATTTATGACATGGATGAATCTAGAGAACACTGCATTAAATTAAGTCAGACATAAAAAGACAAATATGGGTATAATCTTACTTGTATAGGGAATCTTAAAAAGTCGAACTCACGGAAGTAAAGAGTAGAATGCTGGTTACTAGGGACTGGGAAGATGTTCACCAAAAGGACCAATGTTTCAGTTACAGAGACGGAATAAGTGCTGGTGATCTATTTTACAACATGGTGACTACAGTTAATAATGTGTCAGTAGTTGAAAACTGCTGTGAATAAACTTTAAACATTCTTACCACAAAGAAAAATGATACGTGAGGTGAAGAAGACATTAATTAGCTTGACTTAATCATTCCCTAATGTACACAAATATCAGTATATCACACTGTACACCATAAATACATAAACTAAAAAAAGTTATTATTACCCTCTTGAAGCATACATTCTAATAAACAATTAAAGAAAGCAATGAATAGAAGAAAGGAAATAAAACAAGATGATATGAGAAAGAATAGTAATGGAAAGGAAGCTACTTAGTTACGGAGTCAGGGAAAGCCTCTTGAAGGAGGTGAATTGAAGAATGAGTAGGCACCAGTCACACAGAAAACTGGGAAAAGAGCCAAAAGCCAGTGACAAAATACAAACATCCCTGAGGCATGAAAATGCTTGGCATGATTAAAAAACTAGAAGGTAGTCTGACTGTTTCATAGTGAGCAAAAGAAAGAATAACATGAGATAAAGTTGGAAACATAGTCAATAGTCATCTTATCTAGGGTCTTTGTGAAATGTTACTCTAAATACTACTAGAAATTTTATGTCAAGAAAGGACATAATCTGCTTTATCTTTTAAAACAATGAAATTGGCAGTAAAACTAAAAGAATAACGATCAGTAAGAGAAGTAATGAATTCACTTTGTATTGTAATTGATGCAAGTCAGAATTAGAATAGTTTTGCTACGTTAAGGCATTTTAATTTTGTTCCAAAAATTACAGGGAGCCTTTTGAGAATTTTAGAAAGAAAAATTACTTTATTAAAGTTATTATATATTATAAAATATTTATTATATTAAAATGGTATATAAATTATACTTACTGTTATTATATTGTATTATATATTAGTGTTATTTCCAAAATTGTCAGTAATAAACTGAGAGAAAGCCTAGAAACAAAAAGTCCAATGAAGAAACTATGGCAATACTTCAAGAAGGGATTTGAGTCTGAACTAAGGTATTACATCAAAATTTAAAAAAAGAGATCAGAGAGCTATTTCAAAAAGGAGCTGAAAGAAGGGAGTGGGATGTGGAAGAGCTGAAGAGTAGTCCAGAAAAGGGTTTCTCAAACTATTTGTGAAAATTTACTTTTATCTCCTCAATCCATCATTCGTTGACACATTTAGAAAATAAAATATAAAATTTTATTTACTAATTGTAGTAAATTACTGAAAAAGTAAAAAATTTTAAAACTACACAAAATAAAAGCACAACTGTTTTTAGTTATTTGATTAGGCAGACATAAAATTACACATCAATAAATATAATCAGACAAAAATAGCACAAAGAAAAAGAACATAATTATAAAAACGGCCTGTGTTGTTCACCAAAAGTGAACTGGGGATTAATTTAGACAACTACTATTACACTTGCAACTTTTCTTCATTACACATCATAACTAAACAAAAAGTTTTAGGTAAAGAGTGATCCTCACCTCCCAAATGCCTATATGAATATTTTGAACAAACACTGCAATTATAAATAAGGTTTGTGATGTTGACAATGAGCTTTTTTGCTTGTTAATTTATCTAATCTAAGGTGAACTGGCAATAAAGCAACTCAGGGGAATAATAAATACCTAAATTGTTTTTATTTCAGTAACACTCAAAGAGGAGAAAGTAATGTCACACAGGTATGCTGATGGAATGAAAATTCTTCTACATCTTGTATAGTTATAACAAGATGTAAGTTATATTTCAGTGACAGAAATGGATTCCAGATCCATGAATTTGCTATCTGTGAATCTTCTATTGCTGGAAAATAAAATATAAAATAGTCTGCCCAATCCATAAAATGACAGGTGATAATTTGAAAGATGAACAAAATCTGATCATTCCTAAAGACCAGAACACTTAATAATTTTTTTTTCTTTGAAAAAGGGTCTTGCTCTGTTGCTCAGGCTGCAGTGTAGTAGGCACAATCACAGCTCACAGCAACCTAAACTTCCTGGGCTTAAGCAATCTTCCCACCTCATCCTCCTGAGTAGCTGGGACTACAGGCACATGCCACCATGCCTGGTTAATTTTTTAATTTTTCGTATAGACGGTGTCTCACTACACTGCCCACCAGGCTGGTCTCAAACTCCTGGTCTCAAGCTGTCCCCTCTCCTCGGCCTCCCAAAATGCTGGGATTATAGGCATGTGCCACCAAGCTGGGTCGATAATTATTATTAAATTGTGAAACATGTCATAGAAACTGTGTACCTCTAAGATTTTAACTTTTGTGTTCTTTGATCATACCTACCATGAAAAAATATCTTTCCCTGTTTGGAAGCATTGAGTTCATGAAAAATATTTGACAGACACTTTCCCCCAATAACCACTGCACTACAGCATGCAATAACAGTTATGATAATCTGCCATAATATCACATAATACAAAGAATAATAGCAAATTTACCACATTGGCCTTAAAGTAATCAAAATTTTATTATGCTACTAACACCACTGTTCAGTGTAACTGAAACTATTTTCATAGCAAGACTTTCTCGACAACGTGCATTAATATTCTGATACAGGCTTCTTAATCTGGGCAGGTACACCAGGATACTTTCCATAGCAGAGCCTTTAGAACACACTCCACCAGACAAACTCCAGAAGATGTTTGCTGACAATCTCATCCTTTTTTTTGGTTTGCACAGTTTAGAGCTAGATGTGTTTGTCAGTCAGCAGTGAAGTTGAAAACAATATTTTTCATTTCATCATGCTGTTCAAAGGCTGCACATTTGTAAAAAATAGTATCTGTACATTCATTAAGTTGTAACAAAAATATTTTGCTAGCTTTATTTGTTCCAAAAATTGCTGTTCCAAATGATTAGCTAGTTATGGAATACGTTGAAGTATCGTATCACCTGGAGCTCAGCGTCCTCTTCAAAACTCATTCAATTATTGGCAGAATTCAGTTCCTTCCTGCTGTAGGACTAAAGTCCCCACTTTCTTGCTGGCTGTTGGCTGGTGAGTGCTATTAGCTATATGGTTTCCTCAGATCCTTGCTCCTCCATCTAAGCAATAAAGATCCTCTTTCATGTCAAATCTCTCTCACATTTCAAGTCTCTTGGACTTCCTATTCTGTGACCAGAGAAGGAAACCCTCTTCTTTTACAGAGCTCATGCGATTAGGTCAAGCCCACCTGGATAATCACCATTTCTTAAAGGCTAATGTGCCATTCAGCATAACCTAATCACAGGAGTAAACACCATCATATTTACCATCCCAGGAATTTTGCAGAGTGTGTACACAGGAAAACCCTGGAGCTATCACAGAGTTCTACCTATTACAATCTTTTGTTCTGAAGTCAGTAATCTCATGTTACTCCTACCCAAAGATATTATCATTTTGGCTATTGTATCTTTCATCTCTAAAATTGTCATTTTTTTCTTTATATCTTCCATTTCTCTCCTCAATATGTTAACTTTTTTCCATTACATTGAAAAATATCTTGAATATACATATAATGGCTTCTACAATGTCCTTATCTGATAATTCTGCCATTTCTGTTGTCTCAAAATCTGTTTCTATTCACTGGTATTTTTCTTTTGCTTATGCATCACATTTTCCTTCTTTGGATGTTTAACGATTTTTGTTGGATGTCTAACATTTAATTTTATGGTTTTTGGTAAGGACTTTCGCATTCCTCTAAACAGTGTTGGGGCTTTGTTCTAACTGGAAGTTAAATAACTTATAGATGAGTTAGATGCTTTCGAGGCATGCTTTTAAGTTTTATTCTAGAGTAGCCTTTATATTAGGCTCATTTAGTCCCACGACTACTAAATTGTGACTCTCCTGAGATCTCTCCTGAGTGCTACCATTATGCATATTAATACACATATAATTAGGTATCCTTAATTTATAGATGATACTTAAATAAATGTAATAAAATACAAATATAAAAGCTATACTTAGCTCTCAATAGCTAGGTATAAATACAATGTTTCATATCTCCATGAAACCTGAGGTATATACTTGTTTATAAACAATTATATCATGAATATTTATTTTATAACAATTCATGAAATAAGAATACCCAAACAGGTCAGGAGATGAGGTCAATATTACCTTTGTAAAATGAGTGGCCAAAGCTCTGCTCAGGAATTAACTTGGCAAGGAATCCATGGTTCAAACTTGGATGAGGGATAGATGGTATGACCACAACTGTGGAGAAAATCATGGAATCAAATTTGAGCCAGCATGTAACAACCTGCAACATGGTCCACTGAAGATCCATGACAATTCTATATTACTGCAACATGCAAACAATACTAGCAATAACAAACGCATTTCTGAAGAAAAGAGATTAAGTGTTAAGAGAAAGAAAATAATACACTTGTTAAGCAGAGTAATTCTAGCAACATACACAGAGACATACAAATACACAAGAAAATCAGAACTAGAAGGTTCACTACACCATTACTTTTTGTACATATAATGGATATAAAAGCATTAAAAATGAAAAGAATTAAGATGATAAGTCTGTGTTTTAAATGGTGAAAAAACATGAACTAGAATGGTAGGATGATGTTTAATCTGAAGAATAAAATTAAAAGTGAAAGTATATTATAATGAAAAATTCTCATGTTTAGGTGTTAAAAGTACATGTACCATGCAACAGCAAAATATTGTAGCTAAAACATAATCCATATCTATATGACATCAATAAAAGGTATATGAAATATGATATGCTTATGAAAAACAAGATGCAGAGATTTGACCACTAATTTCTACTCACTTTTTAAAATATCCATTTTATTTATAAATCATATGCATTTATTTAGGAAAGAAAATTTCAACTACAAATTAATCCAGTGGTACATGAAATAACCTTAGGTTATCAAGGTCTCACTGCAAACAATAGAGAAACAACCTTGATATAAACACCTGGAAGGAAATGACAATGATAGGTGTCCAATATTAAAATGATAGTTGCCAGAAACTGTGTTTACACTGTTCAAGTAGAGTGGGCAAAGCTAGTAACACAAGAACAGATGCAACATGAGCCTTTTCTGCAAATGAAAAAGGCAGCATGACCCAAGGTGGTTCACTGTTGTCCATGTTAACTTTCCACAAGTCTTTGATTTTAGTTGAGGCCACTTTGGTATAAAGTTTAGAACATATGTTTGATTATAAATCACTGACAGAATATTTAGATACTGAATTAACTATCTACAGTTAAAAAAGAAAAAAATCCAACTTCTGAGCTTGGCTATAAAGATGTGTATTTTGACTTACCCTTGGCATTAATAACTCTATAATGACTTTCTACTTCCATGTTCATAAAGGTTAAAAAAGTAATACATTTAAAAATGTAGGAGTTACTTGTATATTAAATAATGGTATAAATTAATGATTTATATTAATAAATGAGAAACACTGAAACCAAAGCTGTACTGATAAGATGAGAATGTCGCAACTATATAGAAATACCATTCATACATTTTTGTGGAATTAAGGAATACTAAATTAGCATTTCTATACCAACCATTCATAAATATTTGAGGTGATTATGAAGAGGTCCAGTTCAAATCTAGATGTAAAGGTGATAAAAAAAAGGAGATACATCATGGTGAAAATTCAAATAATTATACAATGTTAAGTACCTGTACTTGTTGGTGAATTTATTTCTTGTCTCATGTTTCTACCTGGTTGGCTTCCAGTTCTTGTAGTCTCTCTCTGGGGTTCTAATATGTCACGATACTTGGAAACCATCAGAACCGAAATGAAGTAAACAACAGCCAGAGCTAAGAACTGTGCCTGTTTGCTATCATCCTATGAAAAATGAAAAGACAGTTTTAACACTCTAACTTTTTGAAGTATAAGTTCTTAAAGCACTAGAAACTGCTATTTCGTTATGTTTACGGAGGCAAAATATGATATGTAACTTTTATGAAAACCTGCTAAATATATATTTTTATTTAATAAGTATTATTTAACTACAAATATAAAACTCCCAAAATATATCATCTATAGGTTGGAAAGTAATTTCCAAAAACTAGAATATTAAAATTTTATTATTTGTCCTTTTTTGTCCATTATTATCTACTACTTACATAACGACACAGTATGTGTGCTTATAAAATACATAGATGGCACAAAGTTGAAAAGAATAATTTAATGTCCCGAATTTTTTAAAAATCAAGAGTTTTATATATTATAACTGAATAAAATTAATAGGATAAAACTACAACTGAAATACATATAAAATCCTAGCATACCTGGAGCAAGAGACTATATGAACACAAAATAGAGGAGAAATAAACAATGGGGGAGCATTAAACATGAATTTACATAAGCTCAATATGAGCCAGAAGTGTGATTATGGCAGCATGAGCAAAAGTTAATTCAATCTTCAATCATATCAACAGGTAACACTTGACAAATCCTTCTAGACATTGGCTTAGGCAAAGATTTCATGACCAAGACCTCAAAAGCAAATGCAACAAAAACAAAGATAAACAGGCAGGATTAAACTAAAGAGCAAATGCACAGCAAAAGGATCAGTCAGCAGAATAAACAGACAACTCACAGAGAGGGAGAAATTCTTCACAATCTATACATCCAACAAAGGACTAATAGCTACAATCTATAAGGAACTCAAACAAATTAGGGGAAAAAAAAAAACTCATCTAAAAGTGGGCTAAAGACACAAATAGACAATCCTCAAAAGAAGATATACAAATGGCCAACAAATATATGAAAAAATGCTCAACATCACTAATTATCAGGGAAATGCAAATCAAAACCACAATGTAATACCACCTTACTCTCACAAGAATGGCCATAATAAAAAAAAATAGATATTAGCACAGATGCCGTGAAAAGGAAACACTTCTACACTGCTGGTGGGAATGTAAACTAGTACAACCACTGTGGAAAACACTGTGGAGATTTCCTAAAGAACTAAAAGAATTATCATTTGATCCCGGAATCCCACTACTGGGTATTTACCCAGAGGAAAAGAAGTCATTATATGAAAAAGATACTTGCACATGCATGTTTATAGCAGCACAATTTTCAATCGCAAAAATGTGGAACCAGCCCAAATGCCCATCAATCAATGAATGGATAAAGAAACTGTGGTATATATACACTACATCACACTATTCAGCCATAAAAAGTAATGAAATAATGGCATTCACAGCAACCTGGATGGGATTGGAGACTATTATTCTAAGTGAAGTAAGTAACTCTGGAATGGAAAATCATATGTTCTTACTCATAAGTGGAAGCTAAGCTATGATACAAAGGCATAAGAATGATACAATGGAGTCTGGGGACTAGGAGAGAAAAGGATGGGAAGTGGGTAAGGGATAAAAAGACTACAAATTGGGTTCAGTATATATTGCTCAGGTGACGGGTACATCAAAATCTCATAAATTGCCACTAAAGAACTTATGTATTCAAATACTACTGTTCCCCAAAAACCTATGGAAATAAAACATTTTTAAAAAAGAAATAATAGTCCACTATTCTGCACAGCAAAAATGACCTCTAAAACACTGCCAATATTTCAGGCTCCTCATTTCCGAACTCAAAGATAAAATGGAGTTTTTCCAGAGGAGAACAGCAAATGGTAAAAGCTCTGAAAAAAACTGTCTAACTCAGAAAGCGATAACAGTTAAAACACTGGCTGTGATGTGGTAAGAGAGATAACTTTAAAATAAGTATGCTTCCAAAAATATAACAAGCTGCAAGTAACCTTGAGAGCTCTATTCAAAAGCCTAGATAAACTTCTTTCAGGGAAATAATGATAAGTATCAAGTCTAAATTATGTGACCTCTAATACACTAGAGTATATCTAAGGAATAAAATGTGAATCTTTATTAAGCTTCTTTTATAAGCTAGGTAAAACTGATACTTTCAAACCAAAACTGAAAGCAGTTACTGTGGCCCACAGATAATAGGCAGAATAAGAAATAAGGAAAACAAATAAGCAATAAATTCTAGTAACCTGATTAACAGGCACTTTATATTTATTACTTCATCTAAGCACAATGCAAACAAAATTCATAATTTATGTGCATTTGTAAGCAAAAAGCAAATAAGACATATTTACTGATGATTTAATAGTGTGAAACAGTCTGGCTAATGGGGAAAATGACCAAAATACATAAAATCCGTTCTGAATTATTCTCAATTTACTATTTCATACATTGTGGGTTACAGTTTTTCTACAGACACTTTGTCTTACAAACTGTTTAAAATGCATATTCTTTGCATTAAAAGCTGATAGGATAAACACAGAGAGAAGTGAAGAAATCAAATACCTAAGCAGTTATTACAAAGGAAAATGAAGCACAATCAGATTAAGAAAAGATACTGACCAAGAACTGATTCACACATTGCTCAAGCTGTGACAGACCATAATATCCCACAATACTTCTGTTTCTAACACTAGAAACTCAGTACCAGGCAATCAGAAGGCATTCAACAAATATGTGTGGAATGAATGAATGAATGAATGCCAACTACAGAGTGGCAGAGCTGTAAATAATAGACACTAAACTGCTGTCATAGCTAGACGAAAACCTCCTTTATATATGGCATGAAAAGAGTTAGCTTTTTTTTTTTTTTAATACAGACATCCTAGTCAATTGTGCTTCTTATTTCCAGTTCTGTCAATATAGATAGAGGCTAAACATCTGGGGAATGACTAAATTTTTATACAAATTAATTGACTTGCTCAGGTATTTTATTACTGAGAAGACATGAGCTGTATAACATTTCTCCTATCTGCTTTAAGTGTTGCCATGGTGTACCTTCCCAACGACATCAAGGTAATATAACTTGTGTTAATTGGGTTTATGTTATGTATTAAGCACTAAATCCATATTATCCTAAGCTTCCAGTTAAGGGTTAAGAAAAAGTTAAGACTCAGAAACACTGAGACCACACAACTGGTATAAGGTAGAGTCAGAATTCCAACCCAGATCTTTCCAAAGAATTCTCTTTTCATCACCATATTTCACAGATATAACGACTGCTGGGTTATCCAAAATATTTATAAAATATCCATGAATTTAAGGGAAATGATCATCATCTACCACATAACCTAATTCAAAATTTACTAACAAGTGAAACACAATGTCACCCTTAATAGAAACTCCTTCAGTATGTTATATGTTACATCTGACTGTGCCTTTGGAGGTGAAGATGTGCTCCATGTTTTTAATCACTCATTCATTAAAAAAAAAACCAAAAAACCTTTCCACAGCACATTTTTTTCATGATGACTATTCCCACTTCTAAATGGTTAAACTGTCAGTAAGAATGGTATCTTCTTTCCAAGCGTAGATTACAGTTTAGATTACAGTGAGTTCTTACACTGTGGTTTTTATACTTTATTGTAGTCTCCCTTTTAGAAAAATACCTTCCTTTTTTATTAATTATAAATACAATATAGGTTTATTATAGAAAATTTAAAACTACAAAAAATCATTAAAGGACAAAGAAAAAAATAAAATCTGTTTACCTAGAGATTATCATTGGTGGAATACTGGTATATTTTTTCAGTCTTTTTTTAAAAATAAAGATGCACATATGTACGTACATACAATCAGTATACATATGTAATACTTGTGTAATACAAGTATTTTTACATGCTGTTGCTTTCTCTTAAAATATATCATGATCATTTTCCCTTGTCATTAAATTTCCTTCAGAAATATGTGCTTAAAGGATGAATAGGTCACTGCCGAACGACTAGGTCAAGATTTTTTAGGCCAAAATTCTATTATTGGATATTTATAATGTTGTAAAATTTCCTGTAGACATCTCTGATGAAAACATTAAGTTAAACAAATTCTGACTAGAACCACTGGGTTCTAGTGGTTCACTGGGACATCAATATTTGTAAGAGTTTTAACCATACTGGCAAAGAGCTATTTGAAAGCTCAAACACTAGTTTGACAGAGCAGGTTTCGCTGCACCCAGGCAATGCTAGGTATGATCATTTAAAATTTTTTAGTTTATTTAATAGTGAAAAATATATCACTCTTGTATTAATCTGCATTCTGTTAACTACTAGGGATACTGAATTTTTATCATGTTTGTTGCCTTGTGTCCATTGCCTATTTCTCCGTTGGTATGTTTGGAATTTTCCCAGCATTTTATAAATAATATATATTAAACAGAGTGACGATTTTTCTACTGTACATTCCTAACATATAGCATTATTTTATATAACCTAAACATATTTTAATCATTTTCTAAAGTACAAAGCATGCCATTCAATTTACTGTTAAAGTTTCAAATATAACCTTTCTTCTACATTTCATATAGAATCAACAACTAAGTAAGAATCATGAACTAAAACAAGAAAAACAGAACTCAAAGTGGCTGGTTTATAATAACTATGTTAAGAGATGCTGTCAGCGTTGAATCTGATGTGAAACACCATATATGTTTCTATGCAATTTCTGAAAAGGCCAGTCTTACTTTTACTTACCTGGAGTAACTGATCATAAGATTGGAGGGTTCCATGACACCTCTTTAACCTATCTTTTCCCTTTAGCTTTATTAAGCTATCTTTCTAACTCCAATTCCCATAGATACCTGTATTTTTTAAATGCAGATTATTCTTTAATTGCCCCTCCTCCAAAAGCAACTGTCAGTAACACCTAATGAATTAATCCCTTTCATCCATAATGTAAGGAACATTTATAACAAATTTTTAGTACCTGGAAATGGAGCAAGGAATACTAACAAAGAAGTAGATGTTACAAGATAAAATTAATTATAATTTTTCAGAGCTAGTCCTATTCTTAGTATGCAAGCAACTTACATCAAAATTTCAGGCCATTTTTTAAAACTAACATTATCAATAAGCTTTCAGAGAAAGCTAAGGTTCAACCATTTTATAATGAGAAGTATGCAATAAACCAACAATCCCAGATACTAGGGAATGTCATTTTCATAAGCAGCTTTCTTATAAAACGTATTTCATAAGAATGACAGTAGAAGGTTTATTTCAGGGAAAGCAATCACGGATAACTTACCACATCCCGAAAGACAACAGCACGAAGTCGATTGATATCAACATCCTGAAGAAGTCTATCAGGATCCTTAATAGGAGAAAGGTTACCTGGAACATTTTCCAATGGAGTCTTTAAAAATAAAAAGAATTGTGAGTAGATAATATATTACAGACAATATATAGAAGTATCACTTCTTAATTCATGCTCTCTGAGTTGAGATTTATTAATAATAATCATCTATTACGATGCACATTTTCTGTTCTCTACTCATGTCATGGTTTCCATACTAGCATTCTTGTTCTTCACTGGCACAGCTACCCTATAGACTCATAAAGGCAGGTAAGGTTGTGGAAGAATAAAGATTCATCTTGGACTTCAGAAGATTCCTGAGCCTCACTTTCTCCACCTCTAGTTAATAAATCTCGTTAAGTCTCTGGGTTCATTTATTCATCATGCTTTTTATAATATATGAGATTATTATACTACATTACTATATGAGATTTTATATGTGTAACCATTTCATGGTCTATCCAAGGTTAGAAAAGGTAAGATTAAAAAAAATCAGTCACAGCCCATTAAAGCTGAAAGACATTAAAGATTGTTACCCACAAAACATTTTACAGTTGAAGGAACAAACATCTACAAATTTCAGGTAATGTAGTCACATAGTAGACTACTAAGTGAACTAGGTTCCCTGAAACTCAATCAAGTACTTTCTCACTTATACAGTGTGTTAAAAATGGTATAGATTAAATTAGATAACATGTATAATGCAAAATACAATTCCAGCCCATAATAGATATGTACTTGTTGTTACTCTAACAATGAAAAATAAACAGGGTACTTTCTATTTCTCAATGAATGTCAATCATGATATTCTACCCCAAAATTAAAATGTTTGATTACTTGGCAGCACACGATAGTAAAATATTTAAAGGTTGATAGTATTTGGTTTCCATTACAATTCCAAAACTTCTGGCTATATGACCATTGGTGAGAAGTTAACCTCTCTGAACCTCAGCTACATCATTAGATGTAACAGACTAATAATATTTACTACAGGGTGGTGAAAGAAAATAATACATAATTTACAGCATAAATAACACAGACTTTAAAATTAGAAATATTTTCTTTTCTATATGATGTATTTCTCTACCCCCAATCTAATTTGATCCTTATAAAGACAACATGATAGGAAAAGCTTGCGTAATTGTTCGTTTTCACACAGTATAAAAATGAGGTCGCATGAAGGTATGGAACTCATGCAAGAAACTTGCAAGAAACTTTCCTATTGTAGTCCCAGCTACTTGGGAGGCTGAGGCAGGAGAATCGCTTGAACCCAGGAGGTGGAGGTTGCAGTGAGCCGAGACTGCGCCATTACACTCCACCCTGGCAACAGAGTGAGACTCCGCCTCAAAAAAAAAAAAAAAATTACTCTAAAGTTACAAGGATCTATAACACATAGACACTGTCCTCAAGTACCTGTCTACTATGCCTATACAAATGATATGAGGCATTATTGATGGTCCATTTGTATTTAACTTCCCAAGCAAATAAGAGCACTATGGAGTCCTGTGAGTAGCAAATAATATATAGTCAAATTACAAATGTTCTCTGAGAGTAGTGAAATGGAAAAAAGCTACAATACTGCAAATAACCGACTAATAGGATAAATATACGGTCAGCCTGCTTGCCATCTGCAGAAGTTTAAAGCAATAGAACTTTAAGATGAATTAAACTTCTATTTCGTACCTTCACTTATTGAGCAAAAAGTTACTGTATCAACATTAAACATGTAATTACAAGTATAATGAGTGATAACAGACCTATGTAATTTTACGAAAACAACAAACAGAAGAAACGACCCTAGACTGACTGGGATGGTAGTGAGGGTGACAAAAAACATTTTCCTGAGAAAACGTAGCATTTAATGTAACCCAGTAGTTGCACAGATTTTAGCTGGATAAAAAATAAGGATGAATACTTCATGGAAAGGAAATTATATAAAAGTCTGAGAAGTTAGGGGAAATCGCTCCTTTTGATGGGCTGAGAGCTGCTGCTGGAGAAGTAAGCAAGGACCAGGCACAGAACCTCAGAAAGCATGTTAATGAAACCGGATGTGACACCAAGGGCCAGTTAAGCATATGATAAAGAGAGCTGATTTAGAAAGAAAATTAATAGTATATTTCAAAATACTCCATTCATTGAATGGGGATTCAATGAGTTTTTGTTGACTATTATGCCTACCCATTTAAAAGGAGAATTACTCATACATTAAACTCCGTGAAAATATATGACATTAAAAATAGAAATAACCGTTTTTAGTGCTAATTATAATATTTGTAAGAACTTTATCAAGTAGAATTGTTAGTAACTTCATTTAATAACCAAAACACACAAATCTCAGAGAAGTTAAGTAATCTTGGTAACAGAATTGTGAAGCAGCCTAGAGCTGCCTGGTGAGAATGCCCTTGCTCTCTAAAAAAGACTTTTTTCAGGTCAATTATATTTGACCAAAAAAAAAAGTTTACTTACCTTCGAAGCTGCTGTGGCAGTCACACTTTGGGGAACTTCCTGAGGTTTACTGCTTCCATGGGAAGATTTATTTCCCCTGTCTCTCTGTCTTTGCCGACATTCTAAACAGTTTCTCACAGCAACACAACAAACTATTTAAAAATTCAAAACATATTGTTAATATAAATTGTTGACTTTGATATCCTGGAAAAAGTTGCAAGTTTATTTCTTCTTCCCTTTCTTTCCCCTTGCTTCATAAATTATTAATCTTAAAATCAACTAGAGCAATAATTTTTAAAATTATGAAATATAATAGTAAAGTACCTACAAAATATACATACAGCTAAAAATAAAACAAAATACCCATATACCACCAGCCAGCTGAAGAAATAAAACATTACCAGAGGCTCTGAAACCCCCAATGTATCCTTCCTTATTCTATTACCATCTGAGCTTCACAGTTCTGAATTTATGGATCAATAAAAATTTTTTCAACTAAAGCTCATATTTGATTTAAAAATGTAATAAAGCTTCTGCCCTTAATTTGACTATCTTGTCGACTCTACTGAGCACAACTTCCCATTTCAGTCAATAATAGAGTACATCTGTATACTCAAGTATCACAGGTCCCCAAATCCACCTTCCTTCATGTTGGGAAAGTCTCTGGGCTTTGTCAATAAGCATTCAATATGTACACATTTTTATTTACTCATTTATTTTAAGAAGCAGTAGAGTACTGTGACAAATAGTACAGAGTTTGAAATCAGACCACCTGAGTTTGAATCCTGTATTTTCCAGTTTGGAGCTGTGTGGTTTTAGGCCAGCTGCTTAAACTATCTGTGCCTCAGTTTTTGCACATGTAAAATGAGGATGAACAAAGTAACTGCCTTAGAGGGTTGCTGTGAGGATTAACTGAATATACAGAAAGTGCTTAGAACAGTAAATAGCATAGGAGGTAACATAAAAGTGTTTTATTATTATTCACTTATAAAAGTTTTCTGTGGTTGATGAAACAACTAAATGTGCTAGTAGTGTTAGGATAAAAATGAAACAGGGAGTAAAGTCTTGGACTATATTTAAAAATAAAAACGCAGAATAACCAAATAAATGCAGGTTTCAAGATATTGAGCCATTTTTTAAAAATGTAATCTCTTTCCCACACAGTTCATTTGGCAGCTCTTGTTATGCGTCAATGGAAATGTCCTTAATGGCCCATAGTCAGTTACCCCACACCTCTTGGTTGCCAGAAAGATCTTAATGTGGTCTATCTTTCTCTTAAAATGAATACAAAATGATTCCTCTCAGCTTGCCTGTCTTTAAATAAATAATATGAAACAAACTTTAAATAAATAATATGAAACAAACGAAAAAAAAAGGTTTCATCCCACCATTCTTAAACCAAATCTTTGTTCCTTTCTTGAATCAGAAATGAATTTTTGACATAATCTTTAAAAGTTATGGGTGAAAACAGTACGTATCAGGAACGACCTCCCTATTTCATGCCTTGCAGTTCTTATGTCCTGCTCATGATCTAAGGCAAGTACAAAAAGAGCAGTTTTCTGGTTGTTTTGAAAGTCTAAATAGTGTAAATAAATGTTCCTTTTAAGAGAAGTAGAAATGGTTCTTACCTAAAAAATTCATTCAGATTTACTAAGAGGTTTCAGTGTTAAAAGTTTCACTGCCTCACAAATAAAAGGTGAACAGCATGGGTATAACAATGTTTATTAGGGACATTTGTTCACCCCAAGTAAGATTAGGATAGTTTATTTTAACCTTCTAGCATTATGTGTATCTGACGTGTTTGTGGGGCCAGGACACTACCCTCAGTATTAGTTTACCAAAATTGGATTCATAAATGGATTTGCATTAAAATCACTTCAATGACAAATTGATAGTCTTATTGATTCTGAAAGAATTTCAAGTATATTTCACTCTTGATTTCAAATTATAAACCATTAAAGATGATCAGTTCTGTGAAATCTCCAACATGAAGGCATAATTTTTAAAAATTGAGTAATTCTGATTAATTATAAAAACAATCTCTGTCTCTCAAGATAATCTCTATATTATAAAATCATCAACTTAGATCATCAATATTTTATGTACCACAGCGCTTTATAAAGCTGATCTGTAGATAATTATTTGACATGCATTACTGTTTTAACAGACTTACCTAATCTTAGGCACTGTCGCATTAAACCTCCAGAAGACATGTTTTTCTCAGCTTCAATCTCACTAAAATTTAGAGAGCTTGCAAACACAAGTACATCAACCATAGCCATCAGCCGGCTGAGGAAAGTTACTGCTGTCTCAGCTGACATGCCTTGTGTCACTTCAATATTTTCCAATTCCGTCTTTAGAAAAGTAGAAGATTTAAGTCTTGTTTAAAATTTGGAAATATAATACATATACATACATACTACAAGTGAACACAAATTTAATATATTTATCATATTTTATTAATAAAATAAAAGATCAACTAATTCCACACATCACCAGAGCTGGTTACTGCATTTGTTTACTTTACCTATCAATTATCTTTGAATAAAGGAAAAGCCCATTTTAAAATCAACATTAGCTTTAAATGTCTTTAGTTATAAAAATGACATTCTAAACTTAAGATCATTTCACAAAGATAATTAGAGAGAACCACATATATGTACTTATACTAGTTTTGTTTTGTAATTTATAAAGATTTTACATTGATATTTCTTTCCTAAAATCTTCATTCCCATTAATAAAAATATATGCTTTAATTTTTCTTTCCTATGATGAATAATAGGGAAAATATATGGTAATTTAACTCAGTATCAAAATGAGATGGCTGTCAAATTAGAGTACATAACAATTTCTTATCCATTTTAGAGTAAACTGAAACTACTAGGTACTTTACATGTACAATAAAACTCCAGAGTAAAAATAATCAAGATCACTAACTCGTCTACAGATATTTAACTTGTGACTTATAAAACACTAGTAATAAAAAGAATCACAGCATTCTAGATTGGAAACTACTTTTACTACATTTCTGATTTCAGAGGGAATATTACAAAGTATTGTGTTTCTTAAAATGCACAACATTATGGTTTTTTTAAACAATGTCAACATTTCTTATTTTGTTTTGCACCGTGGACTATATAGCATTTTAATTATTTTTGTTCCTTATGACCAAGCCACATTTTATCAGTGCCTCAAGGAACCAAGGAAGGGAATACTTTATAAGCAAAAAATAATATTTAAATTTTCTGAAAACGGGCACACTAGCCATTCCAATCAACATTACCTCTTAACCAAATGATAAATTCAACTACGAGGTTAGCATATGTAATAGGTATCTACTCCTATTCAATGTTTCATTTTGACATTGTTTATAGCCATCATTATACCTCAACTTCTCCCTCCTTGAAGAAGCAGGAACATTAACATGGAAATGTGAGCAGAAAACACTGAAAAAAAAACTCAAAATACTCAAAACATTTCTTGTGTACAAAGTGGGTAATAAAAATGATAGGTGACTACTGCAAGCATTATATAACTAAGCTCAGTTTTAAATGATGTATAAAATGTAACAACCATTCCTCCTTCCATTTAACAACAAAATAGGGTCAAAATCATTCTCTCTAAAATGAGCCTGGAAAGAGACAGAAATGTGTTTTCAGTTGTTACAACATTATGCCAATTCAGTACACACGGCATAAAAAAATGATTAATTCATTACTTAGACTTTAAAATACAGATTCTTTACTTCTTAGCACTTCATGAATATACAGCATCACTTCATAATATCAATTAAAATCTATGACTATGACATCATAGCTAACAAGAAAAAGCAAAAAATTCATTTAAAATCTGTTTCCATTTAGAATGTTCTATAAAGGAATGAAGACTTGGCCATTTCTCAGGTCTATCAAGTACTGTAAATAATTTTTCAAACATCAGAATTTAGAATATCTAGATCTGTGTTCTCAAAGAAATTCTTCATCATTTTGAATCACTGAAATTGCAAGATAGCTATCTCTCTATATTCATTATTTAATGGTTTTGAGAGTTTTGACCTGTCAAACTATGCTTTCATTTCGAATTATAAATAGAATTATTAAGGTGTCCATATAATCCACCAAAGTGTTTTTTTGACTGAAAAAATTAAATTTTAAAGTAAAAGGCATTTTTGACACAATAGTCTAAAACAGAATTTGTATTCCATTTTATATAAAAGTAATTTTAAAAATGAAGTATGTAAGCAGCAAAAGATAGGGCTAAAAAATAAAGATCACTCTCATACAACTATTAAATCTTAAAATAATATATTTCATCTAATTTACTTCCCTTAGAACCAATTAAAATCTGATTGTACATATGACTGTAACACCATTGTGTTCATTTTGATAGTTTAATCTAGAGATTATTGTGCATAATAAAATAGTAATATATCAATGCATTGGGAAAGTAATCCTTTCAATGACTCTTTTAAATATACAAAAGATATGTCTAATGTTAAAGATGATATGGAAACTCAAAATATAACCAAGTCAAAAATTTCATAAATAAGTAAAAATAAAACTTGAAACTGAAAAGCTGAAAATTACTACAAAAGTAATACTAACCTTAGAACCCTGGACATGCATTAGACAAAACAGACAACAGACCAAAAAAGTACAAGAAAAGGAAATTATTAAATTAAATGAAAATACAATGTAAAATTGAAACACAAAATAATATATTTAAAAATTATATTTGATTATTTTATTAAAAGCAAAATTCTCAGAAGAGATTTTCATTTTAGAAATTACATATGATCAAGGTTAAACATCAAATATTTAGACTTCAGTTTATTTTTTATTGTAGTAACTCTGCCCAAATAATATATATATATAAGTATAGTTCATATATTAGAAATAATGCATGCTCTATTTTACACAGCAAGTATCTTTTCCTATAATTAATGGAACATTTTAATAAATAAGCTAATATAATGCCTCTGTAAAATCCCTACCTCAATTCTGGTTTAGGCAGAAATGACTCAGAGAAATGAACTATTTATACCAACCTCTAGAATTTTCTATAAGGAAATAATGTAATTTGTTTTCTCAAATATACAGAACCCTTCCTATAGTTGAAAATTCCCAGAAGTTAATAAAAGAATAAAATATTTGAGAGATTATAACTTATAAACCACTTTCCCATGCTAGAAAATAACTTGATACACTAAACGATGCCTGAATATGAATAAAGGTAATTAAATAGGTATTATACTAAGTTTCAGATTCTTATTAATAATTACATTCATTATATTCAAATATCAGATAGAATTAGGCTTCACAATAAAAATCAACTATTCTTACTTTCTAATTTTTAACAAGCACATGTGAGTATAAATTTTAAAATATGCTATTTTCATGGTACTTTGTATAGGAAAACACATAAAAGCATCCTGAGAATAGTAAAGTATGATCAGTTCTATGAGATAAACAAAAGAAGAGCAAAACCAACATTATTCATAATTTTTCCAAATATATTTATGATATATCCTGATAATAAAAATAAGTAAAGTAAGACTTCTTTATTTTTGGACAAAATAGAAAAAGCAGTTCTTCTCTCTTATAATTATGAAACTGTTAGGAGTGCTGGAAATGTCAGTCTCTACTATTTTTCTGGGACAGAGAAAATTAAGCCCTGAATTAAGTTCCATAATATTCAGTGTTCAGGATGGTTGACCAAAGTGGTCAACTTAAAATCACAAAGTGTGCAATTTGTGGTTGATCCATGTTCTTTGCTTTTCTTTTTCTTCTCCAATTTTTTGCTTTCATTCATGACCAACTTAAACAATATATTAGAGAACAAATGAGAGGATTCAATTAACTAGTCATAGAAACATTAACTAAAAAAATCAACAACAAAAATATTGCTGCTTTCCCAAAGCAAAGATTGGCCAAATTACATACTAAGAGGTCTTTTTTTTTCTCTGAGTACTACAGTTAAAACTATTGGTCTAACTCAGAGTTCTGAAACTATTTTTGTAATGTATTTTCTATGCTACATATAAAATTAAGTAATCTAGGCAAAACTGAAACTCCCATAAAGTGCTGCTTCTTCAAGAGTACTAAGTTCAAGGTGCTCAACTTATCATTATAAACAATATATATTCTTTTTTTCTTAAGTTTCCATTAAGATATGTTCCTTCCAACTAAGATTAAACAGTTCAAAATTTTCTTCCATGATGATGATACTATAATAGCAATACAAAAATGTTATCTCTAGTATAAATTACTGTACTTATCAAAATTTCCAGGGCAGAAAAGAGACCACTTCTATGTCAATCTCATAGAAATAGCAGACAAAAAATATTTATGTATTGTCTATTGCTGCTTTTGTACTATTATAGCAGAGTTGACTAGCTGTGACAGATGACAATACTGCCAATGAAACCTAAAATATTTCCCATCTGGCCCCATACAAAAAAGGTTTGCGAACTACTGCCATAAACCATTACTATTCCTATTTCTTCATAAAATGCATATAATAAGAATATTCTGAAAAACTATATGTGTAAACAAAATTACCAGATCACTCAAACCTTAGTTTCAAATGTCTCCATCTCTCTTCATATATCTAGCATTAAAATTCTAAAAGCACCTACAAGACAACGTTACCTTTCAGTAATCTTCATGTTACCAATGTTTCCTTTTTTTGCTTATCCCTTCCAAAATTCTCTTTTGGCTTTTTACACTTTTAATTTAAATATAAAAAGCCCAAATATTCAGGTTTAATTTCCCTCTTTATTCAACCTTTTCTTTCCTAACTTTTTCCCTCTGCTACGTTACAACTTCTAGCAAGAATATTATACAACCCCGTAATACAGAAACAACATTCAGCAGTCAGCACCAATCATAGTTCTACCAGATACAAAATGGGAGAAAGGTTTGGCTATTTCTCTTAAGGAAGCAATTCATTCAGAAGACATAAAATCAAGTATGTTGTACAACCAGGCATAGGTTCAAACAGTTAATGGGCCAAAATAACAGAAATACAGAAATTAAGAAAATAAACAAAGGTTTCTATAATTGAACGAATTCCCAAGTCTGTTGAGAAAGTCTAGGTAATAAATAATTTTAAATTCCAAACTATAGTGGTCAAAATTGAATTGTAATAATTTTGGAAGCCAACCTCAAAGTGTCAGTATCTTTATTGTACAATCATCACAAAATAAATAAGCAAATTTGACTGGTGCAATAGTATATATGCTATAGTTTACTTCATTATTTGAATATTCTATCTTAATAGCTAAACATCTTTTGACTTTATAATTTGGAAAACTATTTAATAATGTGAATATTTTAAACCTATACAAATTTTAATAACCTATTGCTAAACTTTTTTTATATAAAAAGCATTTTTTGTTCCATGCAAAATTTAAAAACATTCAATATTTCAAAGTGAATTTCAATACAACCTTTAAAAAATTTCTTCGTAACAAATGATAATTTATAAGACATAAAATGCAATTTATATAATCAAGAAAAATGTCACAAAGAAAGTATTGATTTATTCGGTCTTCAATATATAAAACAAAAAAAAGTTGGCCGGGAGGGGTGGCTCATGCCTGTAATCCCTGCACTTGGGGAGGTCGAGACAGGCAGATCATTTGAGGTCAGGAGTTTGAACCAGCCTGGCCAACATAACCCCATCTCTACTAAAAATACAAAAATTAGCTGGGTGTGGTGGTGTACACCTGTAATCCCAGCTACTTGGGAGGCTGAGGCAGGAGAATTGCTTGAACCCAGGAGGCGGATGTTGCAATGAGCTGAGATCACCCTACTGTACTCCAGCCTGGGTCACAGAATGATACTCTGTTTAAAAAAAAAAAAAAAAAAAAAGGAAAACAGAAGGAAAAAAAATGTCCTCTATGTCTCACTATTAGAAAGCATTTTAAAAATCATACATAACTCTCAACTTACCAGAATTTGGTATAAATCACCAGAGGAAAAGAGAGATGAAAGAAAAGGAGTGGTGTATGTATATCTGCACTCTTCACACACCATCAACCATTTATACTGTTCTTCCTAGCTCCATTTCCTTGGTTCAGCTGCTAATTTGATTAAGGCCCTACTGGTGACTTGCTCTGTTGCATTCCTCCTTCTGAACTGGAATGCTTCCCTTTGTGGACTTCTTGAGCAAAATCATGAATAAAATAGAAGAATAACGACTGGGGAAAGTGTGTGAGGATATACCCTGTGGCTGCTAATGTTGAAGTTTCATTGCTGCTCTGGTGATGGTGGTGGCATTGACAAAAGGACAGTAAGAAAAAGAGTCATATAGAAAAATTTGTTAATGATGAAATAAATTTAGAGATCAACTTGGAAACAGTGTCTCACCAACTAATAGACATCTTAGTAAAATGAAAGATTTCCCTCTGGCAAGGTAAACTTTCTGAGCTTAAGGATGAGTTTCCATACGGCAACAAGAACACGGGTAATATGGGAAGCAAATTTCTATATTCTTTCCCATTGAGCAAGTAGTTATGGATTCTGCCTTGATATGAATCAAAGATTTTGTTTTTAATGACAACCAAAATATAAAGTTAACATTGACCTATTATATTTTAAATGACATACACAATTAACATTATGTGCCTTTAAAATGTATTAACACATTTCACTGTTTAATATAGAAACAAATCAAGATAAGGCTAGATTTTGTAAAATAAATGTTGCATCAGTAAATAAATGAAAATGTTAAATAACAAGAATTTTAAGAGTTTATTTATACTATAGAATTGAAGAGATATGTAATATCTCTGATGAAGAATGCAATATTCTTCTGATGAAGCATTTATTCATCAGAATTACCAGAGAAATATTTTCATAAGCACACATAGCTGGAACCCAACACTGATAAACAGAAGTGGTGGAAACAGAAATTTATATGGTCAAAAAGTTCCCTAAAAATTACAGGTCCGTTTAAAATCTGTTTACAGCCTAGACCACCACTGAAATGCTCAAGTCATGTAATTATAAAATATAACCACTAGATGGAGGCAAAGTACTTACAGTTGGTGATGTAGCAGCAGAGAGCAAAGGTAAAATTCCTCCACAAGCAATGATGATGTTGTCTACCATTTGGGAAATGAGGTGAATTGTGTTATGTACAAAAATAATATTTTCATTGCTATTGACAAAATCCATTACAGACTTTGTGGAATGGCTAAAATACAGAAAACAGAAATAAGTATGTATTTGGCTTACTTAAATGAAAAGCTTACACAATTTACTTAGAATAACAAGTGAAAAATTATAGAATTGTAGGAGCTAGCCATATTTAAAATTAAATTATTATAAAATAAAGCAATTTATAACTGAGATATCATATTACCAAAAACTAAGCATTCATCTCCACAGAATTTTGTTGTGTCCAAGAATATTAACTCATTATTATTATTACTATTTTGCTTGAAAAACATAGAGCTAGATTCTAAGACATATGACTGATTCAATAAATTTGGCTAAAAATATTTATGTTGCCAAATCTGATTTTTTTTTTGAAAGGCAGAATCTTTTAAATATAAAAAGTATGTCCAATGTTAAAAATAATATGGAAACTCAAAATATAACCAATTCAAAATTTTCATACCTATAAATAAAATCTGAAACTGAAAACCTAAAAATTTAACTGAAAGTTTTACTTTGTAGGCGGTTTCAATTTGTCACATCACCAGTGACTTCAGCCCCACCTTTGACTAGTCACATTGAAAATGTGTACTTGTTAAAGAAGTGACACGATAGGGGAATATAAATAAATCAGTACAAATTCAAGAACTTATTTAATAAGAAAAGCAACAAAATCTCAAACTAAGTTGGTAGTACAGCATTCCCATACAAAACATACAATGTAGATGTCAAAAAAATACACTGCTTTTGTTTGGTATCAGTCAAGAATATAATTTTTTTTTTCTTTTTGAGACAGGATCTCTGCTGTCGCCCAGGCTAGAGTGCAGTAGTGAGATCATGGCTCACTGCAGCCTCAACCTCCCTGGGTCCAGGAGATTTCCGAGTAGCTGGGACTACAGGTGGACACCACCACGCCTAGCTAATGTTTGTAGAAACAGGGTCTTGCCCTGGTCTCGAACTCCTGAGCTCCAGCTATCCTCCCGCCTTGGCTTCCCAAAGTGCTGGGATATAGGCGTGAGCCACCACACCTGGCCTGAACTGTTTTTTAATGGGAAAAAAAATAAGATTAAAAAAAAGAAATTACTCCATGGTCAAAATTAAGTCCATAATTCTCACCCTTTTAGAGTTGTGAATTATTATCTATCACTGTGTATCTTAAATTTCAAGATGTTTCTCCCCCTCCTAAAAATAAAGTGCTACCTTTAAAAAATTTAAATGTCATTAAATTCTACTTGGGTAATTTTATGAGAGCCCATCAAAGAAAACAAAAACACAGAGTAGGGGTGGATGGAAACAAAGCTGAGTATCACTCACTTGGAGGCTACTGATATTATAATTATTAAATTACATAATTTATCTCCATACATTGGTCTTCGTGTTAATAGTAATATATTTCATGGTATTTAGGTTTCCTTAGTTACCATCTCTAGGTAATTTATCATGTAATAATTAGCAATGAAAATATATTAGTATAAGAACAAATTGATCAAATAAAATCAAAATCAAAATCTTTCTATGGCAGACTTTATTGACGTCTTCCACAACAGTCGTAACTTTTTCCCTGCTGACACATATTTTATATTTTGTTCTATTATTGAGCTTGATTGGGTACAGGAAAGACTAGCCTCACCCTAGTTACTAGTTAATTAACCAGTATTAGTCCCTAAAAACCGGTCATTATTATAATCTCATTTGCTTTTTCTGATGATTAATTTTGAAAGAGGATGTGATCCTGCTGTCTCATGAGACATAAGGGGGATTTTTCTTCAGGGGCTTCTTTTAAAAAAAAAAGAAGAAAAGAGGAGAATAAAAAGAGAAAGTGAAAGAGGAGAGAGAAGAGGAGGAGGCAGAGGAAAAATAGGAAGAAGAGGAAGGAAGAAGAGTGATCTCTGCCTTTTAATTTGGGCGAGTTTCTCATGATGAATTGATGTTGGGAGTTGAAGCAGCCACCTTGAATCCTAAAAGGAAAACGAGAAGCATAGAAGCCGACACTCCTAAGAATGTTGTGCTAGATCATTTAAGTTACCCTTGTTACTTACATCCATCAACTTCCTAATTGTATTCATGCCTATGTAAATGATATGCTGTCATAATTAATCTGTTGCACATTTACTATTAAAAAATTAAATTGAAAATTTAGAAAGGCAATGGTTTAATTTATGTAGATTTGTTGTCTTTAAGTTATTATCTTTGAACTGATATCCACTAACTGCTCAAATACTACGGGCTCTGAATTCACATGTCACAGGGTGATTTTAAACTTTAAACAGTATGTATTATAATATTATCACTAATAAATTTAGTACATGGTATTAATTTAAACAGGAAACAAGAAAAATGTGGAAATTCCTTTAATCAAAGCAGATTTTTGGTTTTGTCAAGTCTCTTTAAAATAGAACAGGCAATGGTAGATTTTAAATATTTGCTTTTAATTTATAAAAAAGAAATATTTCTACCTCCTCCAGACATGTACATCAGTTTCTAATGCAAATAGCAAATCAGTGAGAAGCCGCTGGTGCATTGGAGACCATTTAAACTCAGGAATACGAAACATTGTAGTCCGTGGACCTGGGCTAAACTGGCGCCGCTGTTCTTCAGTCATTGGCATTCCTCGAAATCCTAAATCAACTCGGAGATCTCGGTCTTGTTGGGTGATAGACCGACCCTGCACAGCCTAAACAAGGAAAAGGTGAACTTTTGTGGAATACAAAAGAAATGCCTTATTTCAAAATGAAACTGTGAGTATAGTACAGTGAACAATGCTTTAATGCTTTAGCATATGACATTAGCAGTTTAATATATTTCACATATATTATTCACCTGGTAATTCCTTGCACAGGAAACTTTCTGGGCTGAAGTCTCCACTATTGCTTTTACTTTACTATTGCAGAAACTAGGCAAGATAATCAAATACCTAAAGCTAACACCAAAGTTCACACTGAAAACCAGACCCTCTTGACCCCATTAAGAGTCTTTAAATTAGACCACATCACTTCCTTACTGAAGTGAGCATATACAAAGTGAAGTATACTGGATATATGTCATCAACTAATTGTAACTAAAGCACACAATTAGAAAAAATATTACTTGAACAGTTTCAAGTAATATTTAACTTTAAAATCTGTTTCACTTATAATACTTCAATTCAAAAACACAAATGCATTTGGTAAGTTAGAAAACAAACCAGAAAAATGTCTATAAACTCCAAATGTAAAACAGGCAAGCCTATTGTTCAATCAACAATGCATGATGTTTTCCTTTATTTTACATCTGTATCTAATTCAGTATTCTCATCTCCTGCCAATTATCACTACAATGCAACTGCCACAAAAAATGGAAATTGGCGGTTACAGAAAAAATAAAAATACTTTCCCCACACACATGATATATTATTAAGGATTCTTACTGGAATACAAAGACACAAGACAGGCATGGTTTACTTCTCATAGTATAGCCCTAATGGAAACACATTCAATGTATCTTCAATGACATTAAAAGGCAAGTGGGGCACCCAGAGGATAACAAAACCCAAGTCATTAACGGGAAAAGTATTCTTATTTCTTAAACTCTTAACCATAAGGTATTACTTATCCTAGAAAATAAAGAAGTAGTCATAACTCAAAGCTCAACAATTAAAATCTGTATCAGAAAACATCATCTGTTTTTAGCTTTATTCCAGTGAGGTCAAAACTGAAGCACTAACATTTCCTAACAACCAGACCTAAGAGTCTTTAATTGTCTTATAACAAATTCCTATTCATGTGGTTGTACAGAAAATTCTCACTGCTAACAATTCTAATTTTTCTCAGCCATATTACCTACCTCACAGGGTTGTTGTGAGGATTAAATCTGAAAACATATAGCACAGTGCCTGGAACATAGTAGGCACTGGATAAATAACAGTTCCCTTTTCCCTTCCCCTTCATTTATCAGTTCAATCTGGGCTCCAAGTCCTCTTTTCTATAATCCACAGAACAGGGTTGGGCCTGAAGCTTAAAAGGTTAAAATTAATCAAGTATTCAGAATGAAGATCTTGAGTACAAAATGTGTAAATGTGGTCACAGAGTTTAAAATGTTAGAACTGGTAGAGACCTTAGTCATCCTTTAGTACAACCTCTTATACTATATAAGGAAACTTAGGCCCAGAGAGGTTGAGCAAAGTTACACAGAAGAATGTGGCAGAGTTGGAAATATACTTGAGATATTTTTAATTTCTTATATACATGAAATTATACCACACTATTTCATTCCATAAATTACTATTATGCTATAATTCAATATAAACAGGAAGTAACTGATAAGAAAGTACTCTGTTTTGGTGCTAACAACTCTATCTATTCAAGCATTTTTTTTATTTCTAGAACTCATATAAGGTAGCTTACTTGTGTCGTAGTAGTTGTTTGGATTTTTCGGATTTCTTTTCCTGATTCTTTGCCATCGTCAGACCTTTCAGTATCTGAAATTATACTTCCTGCATCAATATTTGGTACAATTTTGCTACTAGAAGACTCAGTTTCCAGAGTTGTAGCAGTCATTTCAGCATACTCCAGCCCCTTAGCTGATGACGCTAAGTCTCCTTCAGAAATACTGCTCATTCCATCTGAAGTTGTATGGATTTTGAACTCTTTTTCTTCTATTATACTAGATGTACAAGTTAAGTCTACGCTACCGGTCATGTGAGCAAGCAATCCAAGATCATCACTAACACCAAGATGTACTTGTGTGTCCTGAATATTTGGAATAATGTGATTGCTAGAAAGTTCAGGAAGTAGTTTTTCTTCCTGTTTGGGTATTTTATCAAAGAGAAATGATGCACTACTATTGGGAAGGTCTTCTTTCTCATCTGCTAATGTTATCAACGGACCATTATCCTTTTCTTCATTTTTTTTAATGATACCAACACTTCCATGTACATTGTTCTGGAGTTTCTCAACAGCAGCACTATATACATTATCCAACAGAGATTCAACCTCCACAAGGGCACCATTCTCTCCACCTACTAAAGTCTCCGGTGATAAATCCATATCATCGAGCTTTACTTCTGTTGCTTCCACTTTCTCTGCTTTTATATCTACTAAAAGATCATGTACTTCCACATGTACACCACTTCCTGGTCTATCTGAATTTCCAAGAATATCATCTGACACTTTTGTTGACATGAGTAAGTCTCGAGTATCTGTGCTGACAGGGTAATCGGTCTCACTTTCTGGGCTCTGGCTTTGTGAAAGATCTTCTATCTCTCGAATTTCCATTCCACCTTTTGCTCCCGTTGTCTGTGATGAAAGACCAGAGATGGTGCTCACATTCCCTTTCTTTCCTTTTTTAATGTTTTCCTCTTCTTGTCTTTGATATTCTTCATACATTTTGGCTAGGTATTCCTTATGAGCTTCATAAGTGACCTTAGGAATAAGTAAAGAAAACATTAAGGCATTTTGTACGTATCAAAAAGAAAAAAATAAATAATGCACATTAAACTGTGGAAATAGAAAAAACCATGTCAGAAATTTTAAGACTTCAAAGCTGGCACTTGTTAATCCTAAAGCAAGTGCTTAGTTTCATTAAGGAACTGGAAATAATCAACAAATACAGCTATATATGATTTATTATAAGGATTGCCAAAGTCACACAGATAACTCAGCAATATTAAAAGTTATTTTCTTTTAGGCTGAGTATTTCAATGTTACCCAAACCTAATGTGCCAGTTAACTTCCACATATTTATGTAAGCTTAAACAGAGAATAAACAGCTAATAATATACAATATCCAAAGTACTATTACTATGTCGGTTTTCACTATCTATTGCTCATATGTGTACCTGTCCCAACAACTGAAGGTAAAAAAATTCACACATATCATTAAATATATAAATTTACAAGCTGTTAAAACATGACAGTTTTATCCTTATATAAGCTGCTCTGAATTTGTTACTTAGGCTTCTTTATTAATAATCAGAATCCTTTTTTTGCACAAAGACCTGCAATGTCTTTTTCTTTCTTATTTTCAAATTTGTTAAAGCTATGATAAATCTGAGGCATCACTATATTACAAAATGTAAATTTATAATAGAAAAAAAAGCTTTTCTAATATTTTTTAAAGTTCATAGTCTTTCTCTTATAGACATAGGTGCTATTAATGTATATTTAAATAAGTTAACAGAATTTTACACTGGGGGAACCATCCTTTAAAGAATATCTCATAATACAAAAATCTCCTTTATTTTACAGAAGAAGAATGTAAGTCCCAAAAGTGGGGGTTGGTAACATATGGCCCACGGGACAAATCTGCTTATCATCTCTTTTGGTGAATAAAGGTTTATTCAAAACCATGATAACTCATTTATATTATGTATTGTCTTTCACACTGAACAGCAGAGTTGAGTAGTTATATCAGAGGCTATATAACCCACACAGTCTATAATGTTTACTATCTATCTTATTGAACAGTTTTTTCTAACTCATGTTCAAGAAGACTAAATGAGTCTTCTAAAATCACAAAACTCAATTACGGCACAGACTAAATTAAAAGCCATACTTCTGACACCCATGCTGCTTCTATAACACTTCATGATGAGACATCCTAACTCTGAATTTCCAGAATCTAATGTGTATATACTTGTACACTTTAATTCACTATTTCATTTTACCAAAAATCAAATAATACTTAAAATACAGACATACAGATTTTTAAGATTAAAAATAAAGAAAATATAATGCAATTAAAATACCACTAAACTTAAACACTTTAAATGTATTTATGATTCACTTGGAAATAAAAAAATCTGACTTCTTAAAAAAAGTCTTAAAAAGTATATTTCAGAGACTATTTCATGAAATAGTCTTCCAAGAACCAGTTAAAAGAGCAAGTGGCTCAGATTAAAGTTCTCAGATTTGCTATAAAACAGATGTAGGTCATCTTTGGGTATAAAACTCCTAATTTATAAATTTGGGGTTTGAATTAATTCATCTATAAGCCACTTTCAAGTTCTAACAGTCTATGAACAGTGAGGAAAAAAATACAAAACTGAGACACAGGAATCTGTCAAAATCTAAGACGCCCACAAGATGGCACCAGATGCATATCTGTAGCCGTTTAATCCACCGCAATAACTCTGATATTAAAATGTTAAATCCCGTGTTACCTTGGAATGGGCTATTGACAGCGTATCCACCCAGACTCTCCAGCCTCCCCATTCATATTTTATTGCATGATACAAAAGAATCCGGAAGATATTGTAGACCATTTCAGTAATCTTCTGTTCCTCAGAATTTTTAGGATTGATATAGCCAAGAGAAAACATCCAATCCTGCCACACTGAACACTGCAATAAGCATCTTGGGAGGAAAAAAAAAATTGATCTCATTAAAAATATCCAAATTAAGTTAGAATTTACTATTTTGAAACTTTGATAAATAAAATAGTGAAAATATGATCTGACCTCAGTAAAGTAAGGTGTACAGTCATGCTGCACATTATATATTCTATAATTGGAATGACTTTCTCTTATTTCTCTACCAGGAAAAATCCTAATTGTCATTCAAAATCACTTTCCTAACTTTCACAGTCAGATTTACTTATTGCTTCTCTACTTTCTTACCACCTTTAGCACTCACAATGTATTTAACACATTATGCATTAATCATTGCTTTATGGTTTTCTTTCCCACTGGAATGTACCGAGACTGTGTACTAAGACTATCTTGTGTAGCACTGGGTCTTACACTGAACACAATAGGCACTCAGTCAATATTTGTTAAATTATAGACTCAGGCAATGACTACCCCAGAGTTCATGGCCTCAGACTCTATCCCATGTTCTAGCTAACTAGCTTAAAAATGAACAACAATCAGCCATAAGAAAAATGGGGTGGAAAGCACAGACGAAAATGAGAAAATCCAACACAATTACAACTGAAAGTTCTATTGGTGATAGATAGGTACCACTAAAAGGGATATTACATTTTAAATAAGAGTTTGTTTATATGTACATTCATATATACAATTAAAACATAATATCCATATAACAAAATAAAAATAATATAAAAATAAATAGAAGTATACTGAATACGTCAAAGAAACATAATATGCCTTTTCTGATGATTAAAAGTATTTAGCAATATGGAAAAGATTTGAAATTAATTGAAATTCTAAAAGAGAGAAAATATTAATTATGGAATAAAGTGTTGTTATAATATCCAAACTGCTTACCTTCTATTTTCACGGCTGTTACTGAAAAGTTTTATCATATCAGATAAAAATAAACGACGAACTTCCATCAGCTCTGCGCTTGGTGTAGAGTTTTTTAATAAAGTTGCCACCACTTTAAGAATCACTGTAAACAAAGAAAAAAACTTAAAGATTTATAACCATATCCTATGCTCAACTCAAAACATATTACTGACTTTCAAATAAATACTTAGCACTATAAAAGGTGAGTTAAAACTGTCATGAACTCGGTAAACACCATAATGATTTAAGAGGTTAGGAAAAGTTTTGATTTAGTCTCATATGTTGCCATGCGCCGATCCCAATACAATAAAGAACTGCCATTTGCTCACTTGGATTCTGAATTTTCACCGTAGAATCTGGCTCTGGATGTGGTTTGTGTACGACCTGAGTACATACTTGCTCTGTCAAGATCTGAAAGATGAAGAATTTGAACTTCATTTAGAAAACAATTTAAATCACAATTGTAAAATATAGATATACAATGAACCTGCAAAAGAAATATCAATGCAGTCCAAACCAAAAGAAACATCTCTTTTAAAGGGACTTTTTATTTTTTTCTTTCTTTTGAGTTTCACTCTTGTTGCCCAGGTTGGAGTGCAATGGTGCAATCTCGGCTCACTTCAAACTCCACCTCATGGGTTCAAGTGATTCTCTTGCTTCAGCCTCCCAAATAGCTGGGATTACAGGCATGTGCCACCACGTCTGACTAATTCTTTGTATTTTTAGTAGAGACAGGGTTTCACCATGTTGATCAGGCTGGTCTTGAACTCCTGACCTCAGATGATCCACTCGCCTCAGCCTCCCAAAGTGCTGGGATTACAGGTGTGAGCCACCGTGCCCAGCCCTAAAGGGACTTTTTAATGAATTCCATATACTTCTAAACTCTTTAACTCTGTATTCACCAAATTTTATTTGTTATTTATACATACAAAACCAGAACCAGTATCTACAGAAGGAAAGATTAATTAGGAAATTCATGAATTTATTGTTCAACATGCCTTTTCAGTGTTCATAAAATTATTTTTTTATGAATTACTTTTTTTTTTTTTTGGAGACAGAATCTCATTGTGGTATGCAGGCTGGACTGCAGTGGCACAATCATGGCTCATTGCAGCCTCCAACTCCTGGACTCAAGCGATCCTCCTACCTAAGTCTCCCAAGTAGCTGGGACTACAGGTTCATGCCACCACACTCAGCTAATTCTTTCTTTCTTTTTTTTTTTTTTTTTGGTAAAGATGGGGTATCACTTTATTGCCCAGGCTGGTCTTGAACTGCTGGGCTCCTGCGATCCTACTGCTTCAGCTTCTCAAAGTGCTGAGATTAAACGCATGAGCCACCACATCTGGCCCCTATTTCAATAAGTGTGACAAGGGAAAGTTCTTCCTAACAAGAACTTTTAGTAGAGACATCTTAACAATGTGGCTCGTTGTCATTTACTAATGAATTTTTCAAATTATTTCTTTCAAATACAAAAAACAGTTGACCAAATAAAGGAAAGAGAAAATTCTAAAACATTTACTAACTTTCCCACTAAAACGTGGGAGCAGGATTTTGAACATCATCTTCACTGTTATATTCCTAGTAATCAGCACCAATGCCTGACACACACCAGCACTCAGTAAATATTTGTTAAAGAATAATTAACTTAATTATATATCAATAATGTATATATGACTGCCCACTGTATTTTAGGCTTGAGCTTGTGTTTACCTCTTACATAAACCCAATGAGGTTATATTTAATAAAGATATCATTTTATATCTGTGATTTAATTTCCTATTTAGCTTTAACATGGCAAATTCTGAATGAACAGTTAAACCTAAGTACAAAAACTGCTGCAAAACCACCAACATTAATTGAAAGGACAATTGAACATAGCAGTACTGTTGAAGCTGAAAATGGAAAAATCAAATTGAGGGAGAGAGATGGTCTCTTCTGATGAGAAAAGGACTATGACATCCAGAGGTCTCATTTTCCTTCCCTTTCTACTCAGATTAAGACAGGACATTCTCATATTAGGAATGTTCATAAAAAAGATATTGACCAGAAATAAAAACTGACCTACTCTATTAAATAACACAGCATTTAATTACCCCCATTCTCCTCATTCTCATACTTTTGATGAAACTAAACACTTCCTTGATAAAACTAAACAGTGTTTCACAACTTTCTACACAAAGGATCCCACACATGCACTCCTAATCAAATGGAGTTGACATGAGATAAAATTTATTTGAAAACCATATACTAAAGAACAATCACTTATTGCTTGGTATATACTTATAAGGAGTTTTCACAACAACTTGCCCCAAAGACCCTGGTGTGTACCTATAGCCCAGTGGATGAGATCCAAGAAAATTGTGATTATAAATAAAGGATTCAAAATAACTTCAGATGAGCTTAAAAGAAACCAGGACCTACTCTTCCATGATAGTTAAAGTGTTTTCAACCAAAAGAGAGAAATCAGATTGCACAGGAAACAAAAGTATCACCAGTTTTTATACTGTCTGTTTAAGTCCCTACTTTATCATCTAACAGTGAAAAGAATAATTGCCTTGTCTATCTAATAAAACTGCTAGGAAGATTAAATAAAGCTCCATATGTGAAAGTGCTTTGAAAACTATAACATATTGAAATACAAGGGTTTTTAAAATGACAAATATATATTCAGAAACTCAATTCAACATGTATTTAATAATATCCAGATATGTGCCCTCCCTCAGCTAAATGTTTGGAGACTGAAAATACATTGCTAGGCGCAACTTCATTTCTAGTAGCAATTTATTTAACTATTGTTCTAGAGGCAGGCATAAATGCATGCCCCTATTAGGTAACAAAACATGATAGACTATCATTAAGAACCTATGTAAGCTTAAAAAGGGAGAAAGGGAATAATGAGATATAAACAAAAAAAGATGAATTTAGACCCAAACATTTTAATGGAAGAGCAGGGCTCAAGATGGGCCCCAAAGGTTTGACTGGATTGGTAAGAGATATGCATAGCAACCCCAAACCCACACTAAAACAAAACTGTACAGAGGTTCAGAGCTGGGTATGGACATGAAAACCAACGTGTATTTAACACTTATAGCACATCTCAATTCATACCAGCCACGTTTTAAGTGTTCAACAGCCACATGTCACCAGTGGCTAGAATACAGGTAATCAACAGGGAGGGAAACAATAATGAATCATAACTATGGAGGTAACTTCATGTGCTATTTACAGAGATGACACCTGAACCCAGCATTACACATTGAAATTTCACTTTATAAATGGAATTATTTTGCAATTCATGTGTTACAGAACTTTAGGCTGAAGCAGGAGCTACTGAAGCTATCTTTCTGAAGCACTTGCTCCCCAGCTTCATCATGCGTAAATTCTGTAGTATTAGTAGGCTCAACTATTTGAGATGAGGTGGTTAAAAAAAAAAAAGGCAAACTATTAACCCTGCTGTTGCATCTAACTGCCACTGTATTCGGATCAGAGAATCTTTACAGGTTTGGACAAGCTACCTAACTTTATGACTTTTTTTTTCTGTGAATAGAAAGTTTGAAAAAGATGGTATCTAACATACTGTCTACCTCTGAGATTCTATAATTTTGAGAAAAAGTTTGATTATTAAGTACTTTTTTTTTTTTTTTTTTGAGACGGAGTCTTGCTCTGTCGCCCAGGCTGGAGTGCAGTGGCACTATCTCGGCTCACTGCAAGCTCCACCTTCTGGGTTCATGCCATTCTCCTGCCTCAGCCTCCCGAGTAGCTAGGACTACAGGCACCTGCCACCATGCCCAGCTAATTTTTTTGTATTTTTAGTAGAGACAGGGTTTCATCATGTTAGCCAGGATGGTCTCGATCTCCTGACCTCGTGATCCGCCCACCTCAGCCTCCCAAAGTGCTGGGATTATAGACGTGAGCCACCGCACCCGGCCTAAGTACTTAGTTTTAAAGTTGACTAACTTGTAAAATGATTGCATTCATAAATTGTTATATCCTTACAGAAACAGTTAATTTTAAAAACACATATTTTTTGGTTAATTATTACTATAAGGAACAAAGCTCTCATTTAGGTGATAAGATCTTACACTTGGCTCCTTCTGTCACCACCAGATGTTTAACTAAATTAAGGGAACAGTATGCAAAGAGAACCCATAAAGCAAAACTAGTATCACAATGAAGTAATGAAACAGATATTATTGTTGAGATTTACAAGTGTATTAAACATGAAAATCTACTTGTTTTGCCTGCAGAAAACATATACTAAAATCAAACAACTCTTAAGTGTATTAGAGAGGGCTACAAATCATTAACAAAAGAAAAACATAATTACTCATAATTTAGAGATGGAGTAACAAAGCAAAACTAAAGATACAAATAGAATTTAAAATACAAGTTTTATAAATATTACAATTCCTAAATAATATGTTATAAAATAGCCTTGAGTAATTTCAAAAAGAGGTCCATTAAAGTTAACTCACTTCTTAGTATATATTCTTCAGAATAAATTCACCTCAGAAAACTACAGAGGTAAATAATTTATTAATTTTTTTTGGTTTTCAAAATAATCAAGATAGATATTTACATCTTCACAACTTATACAATGTTGTCTGACATGTCCTGCCAAAAATCTGATTTTGTGCCTTTTTTCTTTTTTTTTTTTTTGAGACAGAGTTTCACTCTTCTTGCCCAGGCTGGAGTGCAATGCTGTAATCTCAGCGTACCGCAAACTCCACCTCCTGGGTTCAAGCGATTCTCCTGCCTTAGCCTCCTGAGTAGCTGCGATTACAGGCATGCGCCACCACATCTGGCTAATTTTGTATATTTAGTAGGATGGGGTTTCTCCACGTTGATCAGGCTGGTCTCGAACTCCCAACCTCAGGTGATCCGCCCACCTCGGCCTCCCAGAGTGTTGGGATTACAGGCACGAGCCACCGCACCCGGCCTGTGACCTAAAATTTATTGTTCATTATATTACAAGCATCTTATCAAATCAAACTTAAAATTTGTTTCAAAGATCACAATAACACAGTCTTTATCCTAATAAGACTTCAAAAAACATTAGTTAAAATTACAGATTTTTTTTTTTTTTTTTTTTTTTTTTTTTTAGAGCAAGTGTCTTGCTTTGTCGAACAGGCTGGAGTGCAGTAGAGCAATCTCCCAGGTTCAAGCTATTCTGCTTCAGCTTCCCGAGTAACTGGAATTAAAGGTGCACAGTACCATACATGGCTAAATTTTTTGTATTTTTAGTAGAGACTGGGTTTCACCACTTTGGCCAGGCTGATCTTAAATTCCTGACCTTAAGTGATCCACCCTGCTCGGCCTCCCAAAATACTGGGATTACATGCATGAGTCACTGTGCCCGGCCTCCTATTCTACCCTACCCTAGCCTACCCTACCCTACCCTACCCTACCGT